CTGGGAAACATCATTTCAACTACAGGCGGAATTGACGAGGATATCAAAGCCAGAATTGGAAAAGCAAGACAAGCTTTCATTACTCTCAAGTCTGTGTGGAGGTCAACAGCCCTGCTCAGCATCAAAAATAAGATCCGGATTTTCAACTCCAATGTGAAGTCAGTCAGTGCTTCTATACGGATTAGAAACTTGACCTGCGCGTCATAAAGAGCACCTCAAACAAACTACAGACCTTCATCAACAGTGGCCTTCGCTCAATACTACTCAAGGTCAGAAGGTCAGCCAGAAAAGATCAGCAGCAGGGATCTCTGGCAATGAGCGAACCAACCCAGCAGGAACCTATTGTGAAACAAATAGGCAGAAAGAAATGGAGATGGATTGGCCATACTCTGAGGAAACCATAAAGTGACATCACTAGACAAGCCCTGGAGTGGAACGCGAAAGGGAAGCGGCGAGTTGGTCGTCAGTGCAAGGGTGACTTGAGGGAGGTCGTGTGAAGATGAGATGCAAGCGTGTGGGCAAACTTGGAGCGGGGTGAAAAATTTGGCAGAAAACAGAAGGCAATGGAGATGCGCAGCTGAAGCCCTATGTCCTTCCAGGAATTAAAGGATATAATAATAATAATAATTCCACACTACACATTGTGACTCAGTGTTGGATGAATTTTGAGGCAGGATTCATAGTTCGTAATCACATTATCATCTTCACACATCTTCTTACCTTCCTCTTTGTGTAGTCATGCTTCCTCTTGCACTTAATTGCAATTCTCCTGCCTGCCTACTTGTGAGTAGGTGAAATGGATTTCGACAAAACAATCAAACGATGTAATTTATCGGAAGCGTGTGATGAATTTGAGCAACACATTTCAAACATTTCGATCACACAAACAAGTACTTCTCACACGTCTTTATAAAAGAGGAGGATCGAGATTGAATCACTGTCCGTCGGAATGGTAGTGAGTCAAGATCACAGGCGAGAGGTAGGAAAATGAGGTATGAATGAAGAGGATGGAAACACTATTGCGAAACAGAAATTGAACCAACAAGGCATCTTCGAAGTACTAGGAAGTAACTCTTAGCACAAAACATGTGTAGGCAATTTTATGTCTGAGACTTGAGGGGATTCCCGAGTACGGCCGAAACCTGTTCTATGTATGGGTTTATAGGTACCGCTGGAATCAACTTTACAACCTGTCTCCATCCCATTCCATAGTTCAGTCAATCAAGCAATTTTATTTTTACTCGTGGCCACTTAGAAATATGTTCCTTAGCTCTGACAACTGAAGACCTATGATTTCTTCTTAGTTACGTGTGACCACACATACATGTTAATCGGTAAACGCAGTGATTTGATACCAGTAATAATATTTATAATATTAATAACCGACACCTGCCCTTCCTTTCTCAATACCGAGGATCAGATGGTCAGACGGAAAGGAAAAGCAACAAGAGCTTATATCAGCCGACCAGCCAAGAACCTCCTCTCCAGCAAATCTAGAGAGGGCGATAGTGATGGATTGAGCAAACACTGAGGTGGCCTTCATGTGACACCACACATCAAGACAACAAATTGAAAGCGGAATTGGAAGCTACCGGTTGGACATGGGCTACAAGTGACACTGAGGAGATCATGTAAACAGGGAAGAAATACCTGAGGAAGACGTTAGAGTGCAGAATAGAGTGAAGATGTCCAACTGAAGCCCTTCGCTTCACTGGAAATGCGAAGAACGAATAATGAAAATAAGCAAAGATCGAAATCCCGATATTCCTCAGAATCTCCTGTTGAGAAGACTCGTAAACCCGCGAACACTTCATCTTACTGTTCTACCGATTAGAGCCAATACTCCTCTCCAAATGAAATCCTGGATGACTAGTCACTACTAACATCTACATTCGAAAGAACGGAAAGCAAACAAATGCATACAATCACACATGAACATAGTATTCGTACAACAAATACTCAGTCTGTGTTCACTTGTTGAAGCGAATAATTTATTTACGCGTGGATGACAACAAATCAAACATAAATTAATCAATCCAATGAAATCTTCTGCCTTGTTTGTGTAAATGGGCAGACTATAAACTGACTGCATGTATGTCACAACTGGAACACAAGTCTGAAGCCAACGTGTTTATTTGACTCATACTTTGACCATATAGTTGGTGACATCACTCTGCAGGGAAATAATTATTCACACTTTAGTGGTATATCAGTAAACTCGAAGAGGCAATTATTTACATGATGTATTATCAGTGAAATACTTTCACAAGTAACAGTTTAATGTTAACCGGAACCTACGTGACGTTTTTTACTATTGGTCAACTGAATATGTCGATCATACTATCGGAAAACTTTTCCAAGATTAGTGAATATGACAAATTCCATTTATATAAAACAGAATATCATTTTTATGTTATCATTATACCCTATATATATATAATTTCCTTGGATTCCGCGTGGAACAAGACCTTTCAAATTTCTAAATATCAGAATTGTTAATATTATAAGGGGACATGGAAGCAAACAGTATTTATTTCTAATCAATTCTTCTTTAACCTTAACTCTGATTAAGGTGTCCTTTGTTTTTATTAAATTATTTGACCAATGATAGTATGATTTTAGATCAAATTTCAATAAGAATAACAACTACAGTTGTTGAATGTTCTTAACATCAGCAATAACGGTGATTATTGTGATAGAGAAGTGCCATAACCATCTGGATTCGGATTGTGTTCAGTCGATTACCTATCAGATTGAAAGGTTTTTGTTAATTCTGAATGGATGTTAGATAGTTAACGACAGTTGGCACGAAACGTGGGTCAAGGCGCTCTTACAGATGGCCTCCAACTATCTAACATAAACCTACTTCGTTGCTGAGTCACAGTATTTAGTTTATGCCAACATTCAAATAATTATAATTGTACTACATGTGCTAAGTAGATCATGGTATCAGCTTCATTTGGGTTGGATCAACAAAATGAAATATAGGAGAATTATAACACAGGTACAGCCATTTATGTCTCTGTTTGCAAAACAATTTGATTGTTAAACAAGTGAGTTTTATTCATGCCATTGGTTGAAAATCTTCATAAAATAGTAAATGATGACCAAAATATGTATGTGACAACTGACAGTTATTTTAATGTCTGGCACATTTCATCATTCATGATATTTCCCACAGGTTTGTAAAACGAAGAAAATTATTTCCGGTAGTCATCATGTGAATATAGCGTTCATGTGAATTAGAGAAGGTAAATTAGGAAAAATTAAACATAGTTTATGCGTCAGACAGTGTGAAACGAGAAGATAGGGATATCCTGGACCGATGTGAAGAACCTAGAAGACCTGGATTTCGCGGATAATTTATGTTTGATGCCACACAAAATCGAAGACTTACAAGCGGAAACCGACAAACTGGTCGAAGAAGCAGCCGGCGAAGATAGGACTATAGGTGAACATAGATAAGACGGAGGTTATGAAAATAACCAACCACCACCAACAACAACAGCAGCAACATCCAGTGCCAATGACCATCAACGGGAGGGATTTGAAAGCGGTTACTTCATTCACTTATCTAGGGAGCATTGTCTCAACTACAGGCAGTCGGAGCGGATGAGGATGTCAAATCGAGAATCATCGGGAAGGCGAGAAACACATTCATCAACCTGAAACCAATCTGGAAATCTTCGTCACTCAGCATCAACAACAGAATTTGGTAGGATTTTCAATAAGAACGTCAAGTCAGTCAGTTCTTCTATGCGTATCAGAAACTTGGCGGGCGGGTAACAAAGAATATTTCCAACAGCCTGTTGCAGACCTTTATCAACAACTAACTGTCTTCACTGGATCTATACTGAAGATCAGATGGCGGGGCCGGAAAGAATCACCAAGAAGGAACTATGGGGACAAACAAAACAAGAACCAATCGGCCAAAAAATATGCAGGAGAAAGTGGAGATGGGTTGGACACGCGCTGAGGGGGCCACTGGGTGACATCGCGAGCGCATCAGGCCATTGCTCGAGTGGAACCCAACAGGTGAGCGGCAAGTGGGACGTCAGTGCAAGGGTGACATGGAGGAGATCGGGTGAAGAGGAGTTGAAACATTATGGACTGACATGGATGCAGGTGAAAAGCACAGCAGAAGACAGAAGCAAGTGGAGACGTGCAGTTGAAGCCCTATGTTCCACTAGGAACCCAAGGGAACAATAATAATAAACAGAGTTTATGTCAATTAATTTATCTACGGTGGAGGATTGGTTATTAAACTGTATACCTATTCAATAGGTTTATTTGATGATCCATTGAGCAGTCAAATCACAGATCCCTCTTACCAAATTGGCCAGAATAGTCCATGGGGAACCTCTCTGGCTGTAGACCTCAGTGACATGGCTACCTGTCACCATGGTTGCGTCAGTCGATTTAAGATGACTTGCTGTCAAACGCAAGTTAGCACACAGTCTATCTCTCACTAACAGATGACTGATTTAAGTAACAGTGGGTTACTTTTAAATATGCTGTGAAATTACACACTACAGAATAGTGTGCGAGAGTATTCTAACGGCATGTTGTAATCTCCACATTGTACCTTCCGAAAGTATTTTAAGTTATGTGGATCGTCTAAATTGTTGTTAACATGTACTCAAACTTTTCAAAAATTTATTCCAATCCTTAAAATAAATTTCATCATACATTTGACTACTACTTTCTCACAATTTGCAAAATATGTCAGTCTATTCTTGCACTAACTGGGAAAGAACCAGATAGATTCGTTGTTTCCCTCTCTTACATATTAGTTAATCGGTCAATGCATATTCTGACTGGATATTGAGGAGAAATAGAAAGAATGATTTAATGACAAAATAAAGTGAATAGTAAACAAATGGTACTTGCTTTTTCAGATCAATTCAACTAGAATATATTGCATAGAATGACATGAAGTTAGAATTATGACAACTGTTTTTAGTCTCTTCTATGAATGTCAGATATTCGGTTTAAAAAAATTAATCAGTGTAATCAAAATAAGGAAAATAGTGATAGAGGATACTATAATAATCATCAGCATAATTATAAACTGCTGCTTTAACTTCATTGTCACTACCATCGCTTCCTTCTTCCTGCTTTTCTGCATTATTAGATACATCAAAGTCATTCAGTGGTGGTCTGAGAGTGCTTTGTGGCATTACTGAAGAAAACATATCTTCAACGCCATTGTCATCTTCTCTGTCCTCATCTAGACTAGAAGTCCTGATGATTGACTTCTCTTCTTCTGTAGAGTAACCAGATGAGCTGGCGTCATCATGAGCTGTATTTCCTGTCTCCCTACTGTAAATATCGAATGGTGATGGTGTCGTTTCTGTGTACACATCATTGTCAGAATGTTTTGCTGGCGTTTCAGAGCTGTGTGTAATCCATGCACCCCCAGTTGTATAAACTTCATGTTGTCCATGAGTAGAGAGGCTTGGAGGTAGGGTCGTTGAACTGGGAATTTCGTTTGTCGTCTTATCCTCAGAAGAACGATAATGATCATGGTTCCCAGTAGTTACACTTTCTGAATAATAGTCTGGTTTATCTGTATATCTGCTGTTCATAGTTGTTCTTTCACCTTCAGGAATCTGTGTTGTTGACTTTTGAATATCTGTGTATGTTTTGTTCTCCATTTCAGTGTGATAATCAGAATAACCGGAGCTGGATTCGTTTTGATTGGTTGATAATGCATACCCAGGCTTACTCTGATAGCCAGAAGTCTGATCACCTGAATTAATAAGAAAGGCAAACTTTGTTAATCAAATTCAGTGGCTCATAGACGTTTTTATAAACTAGAAAATAATAAACCAAGTGAGACTATAAACTAGGTGCTGACAAGCAATGGAATCCAAGAGATGCATCGCGTTCTATTTGTTACTCGTCATGTGAATACATCTGACTCCTCCATTCCAAATAATCGACCGACAGGAAATACAAATCAACGTATAGACTAGAAGCATGACTTCATATAGTCCTGATGCTTAATCAGCACCTATCAGTAAGACGAATCTGCAAAGTATAGATATTTTCTACGAGACCTCAAGTGATAACACATCAGTCAATGAAGAGGTGACATTTCGTAACGTCTCTCTCTCTAGCTATGCAATCCTTGACGGATTTATGAGTACAATGTTAATTGACACAGAGAAGACATGTAATGAAGATAGCTAACCAACAACAAGCGACATATCACCATCACCAGAAGAAATCAAGAGGAAACTGCTTCTCTCAACTGTTTCAATCGACGATATCGTTTTAACCAGAAACAAGAAGCACAGATGCGGATGTAAACGACTGTGACGATCATAAAAGCAAGACAGACATTCATCAATCTGAAGTCACTGCGGAAATATGCTGAACACAACATGATAACAAGATTCCGAATTCCAATTCTAATATCGAGTCAGTGTCTCGAAATACTTCACAGAATTGACACACTACGAACAGCATTCGCGAAAGGTGGATACACAATTTCATCAGAAGTTGACTTCTCTCTGGCTTCATACTGGACATCAGACGGCCAGTCGGATAAGATTAGTGAGAAGGAAGCGTGTGAATGAACCAAGCAGGTAACTACAACTGGAGAAATATGCATAAGGAAATGGATATGGACTGGACAATTGCTGGAGAGATAGTTGAATGATACGACACACCAGTCCCTCAATTGTCATAAGAATAGGAGACGAAGAGTTAGCCATCCGTCTGTTATGTGAAGGAGATGGTGTTAGGAGGAGATAACAACTCATGGTGGGTCGTGCATTCGCCTTAATAATGACGAGGGGAGAGAGTGAGAAGGCAATGTGCTGTCGAAACAATTATCTATACATCCGTACCCAGGAACGTTTAGTTCTGAGCATTGACGAAAACAAATCGTCTCAATTTTGAGCTGAATCGTAAATTTTCCATTGTCACAACAGATAGCATCATAAGCAGAATTTATCAAGATACGTAAACGCTGAGTATTTGTCAACCCCATACATTTTCATTATCAGTGGAATCACGAGTACTTTTTTGTACATTTCTGTTCTATCTGAATTCTATGCCACACGTTTCAGCTTTGAGGTAACGCGCCTGCTCTCTCCACCACTTATCAGACTACATTTAGACCAACATGCATAAGTTGAGACTTCGTAGATTTCCCAACATTTATTGTGATTTCGATAGGTTCGCATTCAGTATAACTCATAAATCAACAACAACATATATTCTGAGGTGCAGAGAATTGGAAATGATCACATGGACAGGCGGCCATATGGCTGGGTGTTGCGGTCAACGAACTGGTGAATGGTGTAGTCTTTTCTCTCTTAGTGGATAGCGGGTATCCACTTAAACCAGAGAAGACACTCTCAGTGATCTACTGTGTCTCCAGTAACCGGTCTACAGAAGGTCGACTGCACTTTCCATCAGTAGCCGAAGGGCTAGGAATCGAAATGAGGAGATCCGGTCGCTGTATCGAAAAGAAATATGTCCTTGGTCTACATTGAGGCCAACTAATCCTGTATAAGCATTAATAATAAACACTCTAGTTCTCCATCCAAGGCTTCTCTATTTTTCCATTTGTTTCAATAGCAAAGTTTTATTACAGACCTTTTACAATTTCATGGCCATTCTAATTATGTTTATCACCTTAGGTTGCATCTTTTATTGAATCGTGTTACTTGATTTCACTTTGTGCAATCTTATTCTTGTCGATATCACAAGTCACTGACTATTAGTCTATCTTGCACTTGCTGTAATACTAGTTTGTCTTTACTGACTATTGTATGCCGAATTCAATGGATTGGTAACTGTATACCCTGAAGAAGAATTTATTGAAAACAAATGTTCACTCTCATTATTCTTGTTCTGAATAAATTATAAAGATATTCAGACTAATTATCACTTCGTTTGATTCAGTGCTCATCAGTATCGTCAGAAGTATTCAGATAATCTGTGAGTCTCGTATTACTTTTACAATTTTGTCTGTTAATTAGCAGGTTAAGGACGGTTGCGTGTACAACAGCTAAGGATTTCACTGGACCACCTAAATTCCCATCCGGTATAATGCATACACACTTCTCCATTTCTTATTGCTCTAATCATCAAGCTGTGTCTTTGAATAGCTCCATCGACTCACACACAATATCACTTTGTTGTAACGCGTACCACTTCACAACAGAAATGAGGAAACAGCATCGTGGAGATGTGGATATTCCTTCAGAAGCAATGACATAGCGTCACACGATGTACTGCAGAACATCATTCTACTTAACGATCCTGTACGGAGAATAGATATTTTTCAGTTTAAATACTCTGAAAATTCTGCACCATGTGTTAACATATTGTCTGGAAGAAAGTTGTCATTATTATTATTATTAAATTGTCGTGAGATTTCCTTCTCTCATTCAAATGTTATTCTCTCTGAGATGATTGCAAAGGCCCTCGTGAATATGACACTCTCAAAGGCTATGATGATGAGTTTGTGAACAGTATGCTGCAGACAACCATCATTACCATACATGCCATCAACCAACTACAGAGATGCATACTAGTTGACGATCATGTGTTCAAGACTGTAGGCTACTTAAAACAGTTTGATGAGTTGATGGAGATATAACACTATTTCTACCATCACCAATAATGACTGAAAACGACTGCGTAAATTTCTCTTTGTGATAGGCAGTTGGAAATCATCCCCACCGAAATCTGAATTACTCCTGCAAAGAGGTTTATAGTATATAACTGTAAACTTGGTAATACTTGCATATCATCAGTAATTGTGTGTCAATATGAAATATCAGATAAACTAATCGACAATTTATGGTTTGTCACAATGAGAAGTAAAAGTGAAAATTCATCAATTCGTTCGTTTAACTGTTAATGGGCCACCGAAATTTTCTTCTATCCTCGTTATAAACACGATACTGTGTGATTCAAATGAAATCATATCTGACAAAATTATTCACTACAAAATTATCTCACCTGAATCAGTTACAGGTACTGCCACACTATTTGCATATGTTATTAAGAATAGCAGACGCAATGCCTCGAGATTCGTAAGCATTGTTAACCCAAAATTATTTTCAGCGTCTGAACGAAATAATAGAAAACAGGTATATTTAACTTTGTTATTATGTGATTTGTGAAAGTGAATATTTTCATATCAGTAAAAAGAAAAATAACAACTTTTGAAACGATTCTTTTTATTCTTTTGCATTCCGAGTTCATGAGTGACTTTCAAGCATAAACTTTTAGGTTTCACCAGCTGTGATATTTTCTCTTATTTTACAGGATCAGATTGCCAGCCTCTCGCCTAATCTTTAGTCCTCACCAGGCTCACACTTTGTTTGTAAACAAGGAGAGGCTTAATACTGTGTCAACTGGTAGTCTAATCCCGGTCGAGTGTGTGGCTGGTGCTCGTTCTACCACTGAAACACCAACGAAAGAAAATAACTCTTATACTTGTATTACTTACTAGTTAGTGACTAAAATCAACTGTGATGTAAACACACAACCTACTGACTGACTCATAATAAATGGGGCTAGAAATTTCTCTAATTACATCAGGACAGCTGTCTACTTTGTTAGCACTGTTGCTTGGGTGTTGAATTCGAATGTATTAATTAGATATTGGGATCTAACATAAAGGGTTTAGGAATTATTTCCAACGTTTACACCTAATCATAAGTGTCAGAGGTCCTAGGACACTATTACTTGTTGAAAGAAATCCCACAATACAAACTACACGAAATGTGAGATTGAGAGTCATTCAGCCAATTATATAAATAAACTTCATCAAATTCCATGTTATAATTCTTCGCACTAACGTCTGCTCAAACAGGAAATTCTTCACAGAACAAGACAGACACTTTCAGGTTTTGACTGTTTAGTGGAATGTCTCTATTTTTCAATTACAACATCGCTGGAATTCCACGTAAACTAATAAGTTGGAAGTAATTTCAGTTAAGCACGTCATCTTGATAGAACCAAAGATGAGATAATGGCGGAGTCTATTAAAATGCATCTGAATGATATTCCATGTCTAAAACAAAGAACACTTAGAACTATTAAGGATATAACCTTTCAAACTGCATCAACTAGCTTTAGTTATCTGATGGGTGACGGTGGCTAGCAGGGAAACATATGAAGTAAATTATGTCCTGTTTGACACTAGTCAGTTGGAAGCACTTTGTTGTTCATTACCTAAAATATCATCAGTAAGTTAACACCAAAGACATAACAGAACCACGGATCCGGAGTGGCGACACTTTGAAGGAAACTAAACTTTTCAACAAGTGGTGGTGAACAGTGGAAATCTGAAACATCCGTATACTAATCAGTTTAAAAATATATACGTAAATAACTGGAGAAAAGGTGTTCTGCAGATCTGTCACTTGGTATCTTTCAGAAATAATCTTCGTCTGTACTTTAAAGCTTCCTCTTCTTCTTGTCAAGCAATTATACAAGGATTAATTATTTCAGGTCACGGTTAACTCATGCAGGAGTAAAATTTGGAAACTGTAATATAATGTCTTTGCACATTGGATAAGTGTATTTGAGATAACACAAAGTGATACAGTATGAATAACTGACCACGTTTCAAGCATAGTTTATTAGTGGAAATCGTATGAATACAATCACAGGACTTCCTTAT